CCCCAAAACCCCAAAACCCCAAAACCCCAAAACCCCTTAAAAATGAATTTATTTGAACAAGAACTTAAAATTAAATAATTTTATAATAAAATTCAAGTTTCAAATAAACCATGAGCAATAGCCGACCTGACCATTCACTCGTAAAGTACAACACCCCTATTCTGGTAAGTACATCCAAGGGAGGAAAGAAAAAGCAGAAGAAGGCTCTTCCTCCACTGAAAGAGTCGGCAGCTATGAGTAATGAAGATTTGCTCAACGAAATTCTTCCGCCAAGAGAATTTACTCAAAAAGGGCAGCTCTGGATCCAGTACGTATCATCTACACCTGCTACAAGAGTTGATGTGGTGAACCTCAAAAATGAGCTGAATAATAAATGAGAGCAGAAGCAAGCAATAAGCACTGGAATCTGCCCTATCCGTGAAGAGCTATATGCCCAATGCTTCGATGAACTAATCAGACAGATAACTATCAATTGTAACGACAGGGGTTACCTACTAGTCAAGGTCAGAAATGAGATAAACATGACCATCCAGGCCTACCAAAGTCTCTATGAAAGTGCCATCTCCTCAGGAATCAGGAAAGCAATCCAGTCAGATCAAAAATAAAAATGACATGGTGGATAAAATTGCTCAATTAGAAGATGAATGCCTAGCCCTTGAGAGAGAAGGAGAAGACCTTGAGATCCAAGTAGAGGAAACTATTAAGAAACACGAAGAGATCAGAGAAAAAGAAACTACTGCACATCAAAAATGGGTATGTATTGCTTAGCCTCTAGCTTGGAATTTACATTGAATAATCTAATCGTCATTTATAGAAAGAGGAAGTCAAACTCAAGCTTCAGGGATATAGGGATGATATTGACGAAGCTCTATCGAATCCCAATAGATAAATATTTAAACTCTGTTAGAGGTATTAGAGCCAGATACAAGCTCTCTTGAAGATATCCAATATTGGTAACTTCCATGTCGAGTAATCTTTAAGTGAGCTATCACTGTTAGAAAATGGCAATACCTTCTCTGTTAATTTAAAGTGGAATAAATAATTATTTGTCTACTATTATCGCTTTTCCATTCTGATGAAATAAAGAAGTTAAACAGAAACATAATGGGAGGATGCAAAATTCTAATAAAAGCTGTGTTAGGCTCTCACACTTCTTACAATTTATTTTAGCAAAAGTAAAAAAAAGAACATTTTCTTCACATAAATCCCTCTTCCTTCTCAAAATGGCCTAAAAATCTCATAAAATTCCCATATCTCAAACTCTTTAAAATCCAAATTTCCACCTTCTCAGCCTATCACCTCTCTAAAACCTCCCAACCCACACAATTTCCCATAAAATCTCCCTTCCTTCCCACCATACACATTTTATTACCTTCAAATCCTATCTCAAAAATAGGGGTTTTGGGGTTTTGGGGTTTTGGGGTTTTGGGGTTTTGGGG